CGCTTTGTTACCGGATGACGGTACTGCCAATGACAACAAAGACTCAGAAACCGACGTTTCCGAGGATGTGCTCTGACCTTGCGATGAACAACATGTCTTTATCTTACCAGCGGCCTTTACAAGCGACAAGAAGCCACTCAATTTTTGTCGGCTGATGTTACTGGGAGCCGGACCTGAGATGGAGGAGACTGTACGTGTCGTCCCCAAGAAAGACATGAATCTGTGTATGGCGAGAGCATGTTATAAGGCAGAGTGTGGGATTTTAAAGGATTTCTCGCTTTCAAATTATGAAGACGGTACTTCGCGTTAGAACGGTAAAATAACGAGGCGCACCCGAGGGCACGGTCAAATTCGCCAATTACTAAGGCAAGTTGTTCATGTAAGTTCTGCACTACCTGAATGCGGCTTAGATATTCTACGCAAATACTGCCTCTGTCTAGCCTAGCAAACGCCGCAATGACACGTAATTCCCTTCATGCAAGAGCTCTCGGACGGGAGCCTTTCGAATATAGACAAGACGTACCGATCCGAATATTCAGCGCTCGAGATGCGATCGGCCCCCGAGCGAATTCATCCGAAAACGACGTGGACTAAAAATGAATCTTACTATATTTTTTCCCAATACCGTGTCATGATCCCAGTCGATCAGCAAAGCAGCCACTTTGAGTGAGGTTACTTGCATCTATGTAGAAAGCACAACACGTGATAGACTGTGTGTGCCACATTCTGGTTGGCAGGCAAAGAAGAAGACTCGGCATTTCTCATGTCATTCTCGGGAGTTTATATCTTGTCGTTGGACTTCTCGCAGTCACCTGCTGGGTGAATACCACGACTTTTCGAAACGAAATCAGAATAAATAAAACATCTATCCTAGGTCAGATGACTTTCAGATGGTGGCTATACATACATACGCTGCACTTTGAGTTGGATATTATTCTCTTGAAGATGCGACACCCAGGTTTGGGAGCACTGTGAGCACACTTCTTCACCTTTCGCCGTTCCACGTGCTCCCCCGTCTTGGCGCGTAATGGGCTTCATTCGATATGGGCCAGAGAAACATCAGGAAAGAGGCTGTTGTTCAATCCATGCGCGTAAATTTGCTTCTAAAAAGAGCTGATCGACGTGATAAGGTTTTGAGAACTATTAGCGGAGCGGGAGACCTGAGAAAAACGCATCGCAAAGTGGTCAGCGGTTGGAAGATGCGTCGACAAAGGGAGAAGTGCCATGCTGGCATCACCTGGTTTCTTTCTCTTGAGATTTTCGAACAAATTATGTTACCTAATATGAAACCAAGATCGGATGTATATTACAAATCGTAGAGAAAAAGACAAGGAAACTTGGTGTAGATTGCGCGGAGAAGAGCGGCTCTCAGAAAGGCGAAGAAGTTCTTTGTGCTTACTGAGAGTGTGCTTCAAGCTTGCCTTGTTGATTCGCAATTCGAAATTCGATACAATTGATTTTAAATGGGGTGTCATTATCTTCAAACTCATCATCAATCGAGAAAATAGGAAGAGCAGAGACTAAGAACGAGGGAGCTGATAGTCAAAATTCATCACGATCTTTCGAGAATTATATAGGTCCTGAAACCCGGGCATTCTCGATCAACCTTCAACTGGATGAATAGGAGGCGAAAAGGAGTAGGAGCGAAGCTGGCTCCTTGAGATATCGTAGTGTCGTGTAGCATCACAAAGCGCCATGTTAGCAAATTACAGCAAACGAAGCTTGAAACACTCTCTTTCGTTCCTGGAGAGGGATTGTGTCTGGACGTAGAAGCAATGAAGCAAACTTTCTGCAGTTGGCAGATACAAGGCTGGGGTGGAAACACCAGAAAGGGTGGAGGAGGACAAAAGTGGGGGGATAATAATGAGAGTTTAAGATTGAGAAATGTTAAGTATCCGTCTATCGGCACCTGAAGAGAGGAGGAAGCGAAGAAATGGTCCAACAGCGGGCAGCCTGATCGTCTTCCCCTCAAATTTCGCGAGGCGAACAAACACTCAGATTTCTGGAGGCGAACGTTGGCCTTGCCCCTCAAGTTGACACGCAGAAATAGACAGATATTACCGCTAACAGTGCTGTCGAAAGCCGCTGAATCTCGTCTTCACCTCGTCAGCATGTTTGGGCCTTACTGGCGATTCTCAAATACCCATTTGGCGTCTTTGCCCTCGCGTCGGACTTCTCTTTTCCCATTAGTCTTTATACCACTCAAAGCATCATCGCCTTTCTTCTCTTCCTCCTCTTCTTCTTTCTCTTAAATTAGAGCAATCGTTTTTTATACAGGGTCGCAGAAGAAAAAATGCCACCGCCCATTCAGGCATGATCTTTCTTCGGCTCTCTTCTTTGCCATACGCCCTTTTCCTTTACTGCGATTCCGTTCTTCTATGCGCTTTTTCGACTACTTTTTCACAACCTTCCGATCTTTTTTTGCTTGCCACAGAGGTTTCACTCAAAGGTCAGTTTCGTACTTCTTTTACCCCTCGCTCCGCATCTTTCCTGTCTACATGCCTCCATAGGGAAGATGCGTCGACGAGGAATAAGCGTTTATCGTTTCCTATTGCTATTTCTGTATTTATTGATTTTTCATTCATTACTTCGATGGAATTTGCTATCCTGTATTTTTCTGTGCCTCGCAAACCTCCCTCACTTCCCTCTGTCCATACCTCCTCGGTCCCCTCTTTTGCGTCCTCTTTTTGGCTTATAGAGCCCCCTCGAGTGTATGTGTCACCATTACGGTAATCTCGGCATCGACTGTAACAGAAATATGCACCCTTAGTCGCGGCAACCTTTGTGTCATACAAATGCATGCTATACCGCATAGGCTCGAGAGCCACCAGGTCTGGAAATTTCCCACGGCAACTAGCAATGAAGTAAAGCGAAAATACTGCCTCTCCTTGCAAGTACTGCGTCTTCTTCTTTGTTTGTTGCATTTCCTAGCTTTTAGTCACTGGCTGAGAAGACATTGGAAGTACGATAAGCTCCTAATTAAGGGAGCCAGATTATAATTAAGGCAGCCAGATTTTTGCATTTCTTCCCTTCTTTTCTGGCTGTATCTGAATCAAATGGAGGGTCTTTCTGAAGCTGGAAGAGAGCGTCAATAAGATTCTTCAGGAAAAGAAACCTGCTCACAAAACGGATAATAGATGAGGGGCTTGTGCCCTTCATGTGGCAAAAAAAATGCATGAGACCATTGGAAATCATACACGCAACTCTACATTTAAATCTCCAATGGTTTATTTGCGCCTTCAAATATAATGAAAGCACCTCAAGCTAGCATTTAATTATACCGATCAATGTTCCGTCTTCTCTTTCCCACGGAAGAGCTTTTATCTCTCGGCCTATTTATTGACCGTTCGCTCCTCTGCCATAGTGAATCTCTAGGCAGGTATTATAAGCCGAAATCGTCCTGGGTTTCGAATCTGCACGCAAAACCATGCATTTTTCCCAGCTCATGTTCGATGGTTTCTGCACGAGTTGTCGGCCCATGACTTCCCGCCATACTTTTTGTTTGCTCTTCCACAGAACCACGACAATAAGTCATAAAGTCACTAGATTCGCACGAAGCCAGGCAAAATATCCTTCTATAGTGAACTGCCATAGAGTAATTATCGCGTCTTCAAAAGCCTAGGATATTGCATATCAATTCTCTCGTGAAAGTATTAGTTGCGGACGCTCGTCCAGCACATGTTGGATAGCCTATCTAGATCGAATCTTTTTCTCGATAAAACTACCGGTGAAAATCGTCAATGCGCTGAATGCCGGACATTACCCCGAGCCGACTAGGTGACCTTTTCGAGATGGAAATCACGGAGCTTCCGCGGTAGAAGGAGGCAAGGATCTAGTTTAGGCGTACAGGACTTAAAGCGCGCGGGAAAGAATCAGTGTTGGGGTAGACTTTCAGGGTAAGGTATTTGGGGAAGCAAGCATCCAAGGCCGACGATGTCGAAGAGGTCTCCTGGAGGCTCGGTCATTCCATGCCAGAAAAAAATAAGGCTTACACGCGCTTTTAACCTGTCAATTGATTACTTATGTGTCTTGCTAAGGCCTGTTTCATGCTGGATGGAGCCGTTTCGGACGGCGCACACAGACATTCAGGCTCGAAGTGGTCTCCGTCTGAATCGGTGGTATTCCGTCCGTGAATTCGGTGAATAGTAGGAGCAGGGCGCTATCGCGGGACTGATTATGACCATTTACTTATTCACCTCTCATGCGCCGATATTCTATCCACACATTCACCTAGATAGTGAAATATACAATGAAACGGAAGGCATATAAGATGAACGCTTTATTGGCACTCTGCGGGAATTCAAGAGAGCAAGACGAGGGCCGAAAAGGGACCGTGGCCGATGGCGGTGACATCAAGCTGCAGAAAGATAGTAAGGAGAATGGGGTGCAGGAAGAGGACGAAAGGGACGTTGATTTGTATAAGGAGGTGAAAGCCGGCCTGGGGGTGTTTACAGATGCAAGAAAGATAAGGGAAGCGGAAGAAGGCAAGGGAGGCCTGAGGGGGCGGGAAACGAGAGAGGGAGCAACCGTTCTGTCAGCAGGAAAAGAAGCCGCCTTGTCCACAATGGAAAGCAAGAAAGCTTTGAGAGCCAGCCTCTGCGAAGACAACCAAGAAGATAAAATGGCCAGAGGGAAAGGCAAGACGACCTACCGATTGGCTCAGAGAGGAGACCGACCGGCTCCGAGAGGTGGAACCTGCCTGGAATGCAAGACCAGCAAGGTACGCGACAATATTTTGAAAGGGATAGGACCTACACGATCTTTGAAATGTTGGAAAGGGAGATAGTTAGGGGACAATTTGTGATCAGTCTGGTGTCAGGATACAGGGCAATCTCCGAGTGGCGCCTAAGGACGTTTTGGCACCATGAGGACATGAAAAAAATTGCAAATGCAGTTCCATGAATGCTTGGATGAGGGATATGTGACAATGGAGTACAGCCGTCGTATAAAATCTATCGGCAAAAGCCGTCCTCATGTAGATACAAGCCGTCTTCATCCCCCTCAATCATCTTCCTTCCTCTTCCACTCCATCCTTGTTCTTTTGATGTTATCCAGGTAAAATGCGATAAAGTACAACCGCGATGCACCCGATGTGCCCGCCACGGCTTCCTTTGTATCCCCCAGACTCGAGGTCAGGGACGCCCGGCAAAGTGGAGGTAAGGAGCGAACGAAAAAGGCAGCAAAGAAGGGAGGGAAGCATGTCGGCAAGGGGTTCATTTGCATCAACAAAGGGAAACCACTCCAACAGAGGATCATTCGAGCGTGGAAAAAAACATCGACGAGATGTTGACGTTCCGTATCTCTTCCATGTCCCCCATGGCACGCTCCCTACACAGGATGTACCTGGCGGAGGACGCTGCGATCCAGAAGGAAGGGGACCTGTGGAACGCCCACTCGAAAGCTCTCTTGCTGAGCGCGGCACAAGCTCGGTCCAAGGAAGAGTCCATCTCGGCGTCGTCAGACCCTGTGCGTCCTGCATACCTCCCGCCGTCCGGGCTTCCCGGCTTGACCTCCACCACGCGTGGAACGTCTTTGCCAGCTTCCCCGCCTCTCCCCGCCTCTTTGAGCCCTCCTCTCTCCGATATCACGGGTGTTTCATCCTCCTTCCGTCCTCCTCACTCCCAATTTTCGTCCTCTTTTTTGACGCGGGCTTCGGGCAAGAGACAAATGCCTCCTTGTAGCGAGGTTCGTGTTCCCTGCCCTCCCTGCTAGCTTATCTTGCCTGACTGGAGATGCGAGGAATCTTAGGCCATCGATATTTTGCTACTTGTGGCCTGGTGCTTCTTTTTCTTGTCTCCCTCAGTCCTTCCTCCCCTCCCTTCCACAGGCGGAGGATCGTCTGGTGGCGGCCCGGTCGCTCAAATGCTTGAAGAACGGGGATGCCTCCCCCTTCCCCCCTCCCCACCCTATTGTCGGCTCCACCTCTCGTCCCGTCCACCCCTCCTTCCCTTCCTTCGCTACCGTCGCGGGGACCAGGGGTGCAGTGGACAGAAACAACTACCTCGGCAACGGCATGGGTGGCTATTACAGCCATGGCTACCCTGGCAGCACGCAACCAAATCGACCGTATTCCACACCCCTGCGGGATATGAGTCTTGGCACCACGGATAGGGTCTCCTACGTCCCACCCAACGACATTTTCCTCGACCCCGTCTTTCCCCGCTGCCCTCCTTCGGCCCATTTTTCTACGCTGCAGCACCCTTGCTACATGGGGAAGCCAGTCACCCCTCCCTTTGTCCCGTCCATGGGAGCCCCTCCTTCCCATCCTCCCCTTCATTCGTCGTGGGCACCAGCACTACAGCCTGGGGGCAAATTTGTACCTGTCGGTGCCCCCATGACTATTTCTGAATGGCTGGGGAAGGGAATGGATGGCTGGAGGCAACGTTAGAAGCAGCAGTCCGGGTTCCACGACGGGCTGCGAGCAGAATAGCGACAAAGTATGGCATGAAAGGCGGTTTTAGTAGTACCGCATGGGCACAGGGCCAGGCATATCGGCTGAGGTTCATAGCCGGCCCCTGATCTCCTCGTAAACCCTTGCCGTGTATCATAGTGCTTCTACAAGACAGTGCACACGAATGTTAGAATACACATCTGCACGCACGGATGTCATCTATTGCGCAAATTTAGAACAGTATGATGCTAAGGGACTTGGCTTCGTCGTACTCAGGAGAATGATGGCTTGGGTTATGACTTCTTGTTAGATATCCCCGCCGACTCCGTATTGTCAAAGAATTTTCAACGCTATCAGGCCTTTAATCTCCATTCGTCTTATAGCAATTTATCGCCACACCGCGTCCCTACATCTTGCATGTATTTAACCACGGAAATCCCACGTAGATACGCATGCTACCGACTACTCTTCTAGCAGATTTAGCATCCCGTTTGCGTTCCCCCTTCTCTACCTAATGCCTTCCACGCGCGCTTTTTGTCTACAGCTTCGAACTTTCTATTTTGTTTTCTCAAGGTCTCTTGTATTGTTCATCTTTTTCTCTACTTGCTATCGTAGATTGCTAGCAAGACGCGTGTCCTGCTCTCCTGCTAACCCTAGGTTGTGGCTTTCCCCATCTCTCTTTGTCCGGGCTGCGGACTGACCTGTTGCCCTCTTATGGTTTCCTTCTTGCACGCTTTACCTTCACTGCCTGTCACACATATCATTTCCCATTTTGTTGTCCTGGAGACATTCTAAAACTTTATTCTGCACCTCCTTTTCTACTAAATTTTTCCTCGTTACCCACTATACTAATGCTTGATACCGAAGTACGGAGAGTAAAAGCGTGCTTTCTTGTGATTGCCCTCGCCCTCTCCCAGCACCATCGTTCTTTCCCTCCTTCGCCGCCCTTCTCCTTTGTCTGTTTCCTCTTCATCCTCCAATATGAGGTAGCGACTGACGTATGATTGATGTCGGACAATGGCCGGTGCATCAAGCCACGCCTCTCCCTCCCTCCCTCTCTCCCTCTCCCCCTCCCTCCCTCCCTCTTCCCTCACGCCGATCAGAGATTTTGTAACGCTGGGGGTAGAGAAGAAGCAAAGAGGTGGATATAAAGAGGATACGGCGGAGGGGGAAACAGAGGACGAGGAGGGAGAGGGGGTACTGCAAGATGGGAGGAAGAAGTCCGGAGGCACAGGTTTGATAGACGCGTCCTTGTATTTTCTCTGACGCTCCCAATCCTGGAGCATAGCCTCTTGTTTCCACAGTTTATCGACCTTTGTCCTCACCTTCTGTCTCTCTGGGGTGCATTCCTCTTGGTCTTCCTTTTCTTCATTTTCTAAATTTCCTTCTTGCTTTTCTTCGATCCACCATCCCCTTTCTTCCTCTTCCCCCTCCTCCTCCTCCTCATCCTCCTCGTCCTTTGCTTCTTCTTCCTCCCCTCCTCCTTGTACTTCTATATGTCCTCCATAATTTCCTGGATCCTTATCTATTCCCTCCTTTTCTTTGTCTTCTTCTTCTTCTTCTTCTTCTTCTTCTTCTTCTTCTTCTTCTTCTTTCTCGCCACTTCCTTCCATCACGTCCATCTTTTCCTCCCCCCTTTCCTCCTTTTTCATCAACCACCCGCACTCCTGTCTCTTCTCGCTTGTTCCCTCATGGTCTTCAGCATCTCTCTGCCGGAGCTCCCCCTCCTCCCATGCCGTCCATGCCAGCATCATCAATGAAGTTGAAGGCGACGAAGGAGAGAGGGTAGAAGGAGGGAGGGACGGGGAAGACACGACAGTTGCTTGTGAAGATGGGTGAAGGGAGGATTGCGTCGGGCGGGAAAGGAGCAAAAACGAAGGATGGTGAAGACGTAGGTAGGGGCCCAGGGTGGTGGTGTTGAAGAAATTGCGACTGACATGCAGTTTCTTGGGGAAATTGTAAGAAGACATGGGAGGAAATGGACAGGTTGAGGTTTGGAGATCGAGAAAAGGATACCAGGGCGATGAGGCGTTGAAAAGGGTGCATATTTCTGTGCTTTTTCGGAGTTTTCACCACGATACACTTCTTGAATCCCCCCTTTCTCCTCCCCTCCATACCTGCAAACTTGGAAACTCCGTCAAAATAGCCCTTATACCAGCTTCCTCCTCAAGCAAGTTATCTGACAGGTTGATTTCCTCCACTCTCATTCCTCCCTCCCTCCCTTCTTCTTTCCTTCCCGCCTTTAATGCCTCAAGTAAACTTACGAGGCCACGGTCGTTCAGCTGGGCTTGTGGTATAGAAAGAGTACGAAGGGAGGGAGAGAGGGCAAGGAGGCGACCGAGGAGGGAGGGTGAGGGTGTCCCTTCTTCAAGCCCAAAGTCTTCCAAGGTCAGCTTGTTGAGAGTGCACAAGAAAGAATGCTCTTTCTCGTTTCGAAAAAGAGTCTTCGTTTCTTCCTCACCGCCAAAAGCGAGATCCAGGAGGACGCCCAGGAGGTGATCTTCGCCAAGAGGAAGGCACGAAGGAGTAGGAGGATGAGCTGTGAATTGTTCGTCTTCAATTTTCAGTTGATGGGAACGGCGTTGGTCTCGATTCCCTCGGATGTGGAGAGTGCGCAGGGAGGATAGATAGGGGGCATAACGGAGGAAGAGGGCGAAGGAGGAGGAGGAAAGAGTGAAGGAGTAAAGCGCGCCGGCCATGGTGTAAGTATGGTCATCGATCGCGGGAGCGACGAGAGGAAGAGTGCGAAGAACGAAACTCCCTTCCAAGAAGGCGATGAGATGAAGGAAAGGGCCAAGAGAGAGGGAGAGAAGAGATGACCTACGAGAGGGGACTACGCTGGCAGGAGGTGACATGGAGGATGATTGTGCAGAGGAACCTTGAAAGAAGGTGCGTGGGAAATAAATTTTGCTGCTACCACCCATTGAATGACAGCTGGGGAAGTTCTGTGGTTTTGAGTATCGGTAAAGGTAGAGGTCGAAATGAGCCATGAAACGAGGGACGAGAAAAGCATTATCTGGTAGTGGGCTCAAAGGAGGAAGCAGGAAGATTTCACTGCGATAAAATAGAACTGTAAATGTCTGGTCCTATCTCGAAGGGATGATGCATAGTGATCAAGGGTGTTCTAGCAACGCGAGAAAAGATAAGAGAAATGAAGGAGATGAGGAGAGAATGGAAATTTGAATAGGGTGGAAGATGAGGTATCAAAAACAGGCAACAGCACTATGTAAAACACTCTGATGGTTTCATATCTGTTAAAGTATTTTTTAACCAATGATTCACATGAATCCAATCATTCCCATGAAACAAGTAGAATAAACAGGAAGTGAGAGACTTTCATACAATAGTGAAGTGAATTAACACAAGAATCTCAAATGGAAGAAGGTATGCCAAGGAAGGACCTACACCATGGCTAACATTTTATTATGTTGTTACCTATTAGCCTGTTTCTTTTTTTCAGTAAGCACATGATTCAAAAGGAGGCTACTTCGCCCTGGTTTATCGCCATGAAAAGTGAGGAAGGAGGGAGGAGGTTGATGAGGAGGGAGGAGTCAACAAGTTCCCAGCCCACTCCCGTCCGTGGGTCAAAATTTGCACGTATGTGCCCATAATCATGTTTATATGAGGCGTGCTATCAGTTATGACATTATATATATACGTTCAGAATGAGGTGTGCATGCTACTTCGAGAGATGAAACCTTTTGGGCAGACGGGCACGTATTTCAGAATGCCGCTGAGTCGCAACCTCCATCAACCCGGAAGTGTCACTTCTAATAGACTGGGTTCTCCATCCATTCTCGTGCTTTGATCAGCATCCCCTTTTTTTTAGGTTTTAATTTCTCATTCCACATTTATCCGGAAGACGTGGTCGCCCTGGGTTTGTCACATCGAGAACATTTTGTATCAATGCAGCCTGAACGTCTCCTCGAGGTACGTTCCGTCGGACCCGAACCTCCCACGAAGAGCCTTCAATTCTTACATTTTATCTGTACAAATGCATAACGTGGAATATTTTCGCTGCATGATTGATGTTCATATCCACTTTTCCTCCCCTACACCCTTTTTTCATCCTTAGGATCTTCATTCCCTGTATCAGCAGGGAAAGTACTCTCTTTTTTTTCAACGCCTCGCTCACCATAGCATAAACGACCGCTCTGCTTTACAAGCGACCTTAGAGAACTCCTCCATTACGTCCCTCTCCTCCTCTCTTCCTCTCCTATTTGCCCATGCACTTCGACGCTCTATCCCCTTCCTCGACCCCGCCTTAGATCAAACCCTCTCCTCCTTTTTCACCACCTCTACGGCCTTCTTTTCCGATGATGATTTTATCCTCACCCGTCTGGGTGGTTTGTCTCGATCCTCTTCTTCCCCAGCTCTCCAAAGTTCATCCCTTGCGCTCCCAACTTCCCTTCTTGAGTTGATCCTTTGCCCAGCTTCTACTTTCCGCTTGCGCCGCTACGCCTTCCATTTCCTGTTTTCCCTTATCCAACACCCCGGCTACCTCTCTGCCCTTGTTCGTACCTTCTTGGCCATAGAAAGTGGCAAGGAAAAAGAGCAGAGCAGGGAGGAAGACTTCCTACGACAGCAGCTTCACGAGCTGTTTAGCGCACTTTTCACCCAGCAGTTAGCCACGGCGGAGCTGCAAGAAGGAGTGGGAGAAGTAGCGTGGAGGTGGATCCGAATGGTGGAAAAAGAGCAGAAAAGACAGTGCAGGAGTGAGGCAAGGCTGAAAAAAGGTTTCTTCCTGAAAAAGGAGGAAGGCGAAAGGTATTTGCTGAAGGGGATCCTCCCAGCAGAAATTTGGCTTTTGTGTGAAAGAGAAAGGAACTACGAAACGTATCTGAGAAAATTATCCAGTACTTTGGACTATGCAAATAAGAAGAGGAGAAAGGAGAGAATAGCAAAAGGGCTAAAGGGTGAAGGAGGTGAAAGACTTGAAGAAGGAGGGTGGGTCTTGCCATTGCGGCCGCATCGGGTGTGCGTGACGCATGGGAATATCGAATCGGTATTGCTGTCACGTGAGGAGGAAAAGAAATGTGCGCCAGTTCCTCTCTCTACATTGTTGGAGCAACGAGGAAAGATTCATTGGGGACAAGCTGAGGTCCGAATGTCGTTCTTTCCTCACAATGGCCCTGCTCAAAGGGCGGAGGAGGAAAAGGTCCGCGATCGGAAAGGAAAGGACGAGGAGGAGGCAGGGGAAGAGAAAGAGGAAACAGACATTTTTTTAGCCTACTCCAAACTCAAGAGGGTGCATTTTCTTCCTTCCTCCGTATCCACGTCCCTCCGGCCGACCATGACCTTCTCCTACGACGATGTCCCCATCCGGAATGCCCTGCTTGGCCCGTTTCCCCCATCTTGCCTTTCTTCCCTCCCGCCTCATCTTTGTTCTTCCTCGTCTGTGGGCTATTTTGCTTCCGATCGAAGCATTTCTCGCGTCGGGAGGCGGGGAAGTGGGAATGAGAGAGAGAGAGATACAGGAAGGGTCTCGTTCACTGTGGAGTTCAGGAGTCAAAGGAAAATGGAGGACCTTAGAGTCTTTTTGAATGGAAAGCTGCGGAAGCACCAACTTGAAGACGCCGACTTCGAAAAAGGAAACGAAAAAACGAGGAGCCACCCTGAGGCTGAAGATGGAGAGCTACTGGAAATGCTGGATGAGAAGGAGAAGAAGGAAAAAGAAAATACTGAGGAGAATAATAGCGATCAGAAGGGCAGTAAGGGCGAAGCAAAGGGTGGTAGCGCTGCTCGGAGAGAAAACGGTGGCGCATGGTCGCCCGAAGCCACGAGATTTATGAAAGCCTCCGTCGCTTCGACTCACGCAATGCTTCTCTACCTAACACGAGGAGGCCGGGGAGGGGCAAATGAAGGGCGGGTAGGAGGGAAGGAGTGTGAGAAAGATAGTGGGAAGAAATCCATTCTCTCTGTGCGGGATTTGATGGAGGAAGCGACTCAGGCCGAAGACGAGGAATGGAAAATAGATGAATTTGAGAAGGAAAGGAGGAACGGTGGAGAATGTCGCACTGAGAGAAAGCAAGTCGCCCGACCACTCAAGCCCCTCTTCAAAAATCATGTAGCGCACACAAGTGAAGAATGGAGGGAAAGAGGGAAAGCGGGGGGGAAGCACGGGATGAGAGCGGGCCATGATACCTCAAGTGTGTTGGCAACGGAGGCCTTGGATGTGTTTGCGGGACTTGGAGCCGAAAGGAAAAAGAAGAGGTACAACAGCCAGGATGTGGCAGAAGAAATGAGGGACACCAGTCAGGAACATGATACGGAGGAAGCGAGAAAGCAACCGACGACCGAAGGGCGGCACGATAACGTCTTGCGTAGAAAGGAGGGACGATGCAGAAAGAATGGTGCCAGAAATCTGCTCATTCTGCCCTCCGGATGGGAATATGGAAGCGAAGGAGGGCGGAAGACAAATGGTGGCATCAAAGCAAAAGTTTCCAATAAGTGTGTGGAGCTCGAGCATTTCCCCGCAGATAGGGGGCGACAAAAGCAGACCAAAAGGGGAAGCGAGAATAACGAGAAAATTCGGAAACATGTGGAAAGGATAAAGATAGACAAGAAAATTGACGGTAAAGGAGAAAATGTGACGTCACGAGGAGAAGAGCTTTCGAAAGACGAAGTTGAGGGGAAGTTGACAAGACAAGTGGAAAGGGTAAAGAGCGAAGGAAACGAAGCAGAAGAGCACAAAAAAACGCAATTGAAACGTAGGTGTGAAGACCAAAAATCAGGGAAAGACCGAAAATTTTCACCAAAGAAAGTGAAACAGGCTTTGGAGACCATTACTAAGGGTGAGGCAGAGCTTGAGGAAGGAATCTCGGGCGAGGCGAAGGTTGCTGAGAAACAAGACGGACGGAATGATAGTGTAGCACGTGCACGGCGTCGAGTGAGTACAGGAAGCAGTAATTCTCTCGCACCGAGACCTGTCAAGGTCTGCAAGCATGGGACTTCTCCTCAACAGACAGCACATGCTGGTCCTTATAACCTCCCAGGACCCGTAAATAGCCAAGAGGCAGGTAAGATGAAAAAATTCGAGTATTCAGCAGCGCCTGTCCTGCTCAAAGCCCGAGCGACCGAGGCTTTCGCCGCTTGCGAGAGGTTACAGGTAGCGCTTGAGGCCTGGAAGGAAGTAGGGGAGTCGGTTCTGGCGTGTCTTGATTAAGAGGATAAGGGAAAGGAGTCAGACGAGGTAGGAACGGAAAGAGGAGAAGGAAAAATGTGCTTGTGGAAGAAAAGAGGAAGCTCGACATTAAGTCTTCGAATTTGTCGAGGATATGATACAAAAAGAGGCTTAAAGTGACAAAACATTGTTCACTAAAGAATGTCTCCAGGGAACACTTCATTTTGTGAGTCTCTTTCAAAAAAGACGCACAGCTCATAGCACAACTCCTTTCATCATACTTCGCAACAAAAGAAAAAAGAAGAGTATATTCCGCGGAAGTAAGTTTATGTAGAAAGGAAGGAAGTGGATAGAAGAGAGGTTGACATAAAAAGCTGGCCTTGTCCTGACAGATGAAAGAAGGATAAAATACTTGGAATCACGTTACTTGGCAAAGAATATATCCAAACATAGACACGAGCACACAGCAACACAAAAGGAGCGCACGCAGACATATACTTGAAAACATGCACACAAAGAATGAAATACTCAGGCGCAGGCAAATTACTCATGTAAACACACCTGAACTGTCAGACAGACAGGTACCCCCAGGTGCAACCACACATATGAGAGCGCACGTCTACGCACGAGAACACGCCAAAATGTCTTTCTTTGCAGAAGGACAATGAGTCCACAAGACAGATACCTACAACCAGCAAGGCGTACGCATAGTCCCATACGTTTTATACAACATAGCATTCACGGAACCATAGAGAGGCAAACAGACAATACACACCCGTGTACGTTCACTTTCAGGTCCCTACATAGAAATGAATAACCTGAATAAAACGCTCAGGCTTTACATACAGAGACAAACATAAAGAGACAGGCATACAGCTAAATTGAGAAACACGAAGCTCGGACACATACAATGTAACACACTTAAAACACAGAGGTGTACCACATAGAGAGACACAAACTGTATTATTCCGCCCAAATTTCTACACACAGAGTCACACACAAATAATATAGGCAGATGGTCATATAAGCACACAAAAGCAACCAAAACACAGAAACAAGCAAGCATAAAGGGACAGATACAGATACAAATACAGGTGCAGACGAAGGCCCCCAAAAACAGAGTACACTAGTGCGAACTCCGACAAGAGCTTATACTTACGTAGTTGTGAATAACTTACAACATACATAAGACCACACTCCTACACACGCTTACACACACATGCACACCGATGCAGGACGAACATAATTTCCAAAAAAAGGATAGACGGATCACACTTCCAGACATACTGCTGACATAGAGCAAGTAGGGATTCTAGCAAGAAGAAGAGTCGGGATCCTTTGGCAAGCGTTGTAGGAAAAATGTCGAAAGATATAACAGACGACATAATGAGAATATCAGGACAAGTTTTAATCAAAGGACACGATAAATATGACAATTGAAGCGATATCCTCAATCTGAGAAGTGTGACGATCTTAAGAGGAGGTTTTCAAGAAAGTGACTACTACAATTGACTTTTATGATCGGTGTAGGAGTGGTCCCTCCAGATAGCATGTGCCGTCTGAATAATCTCCGTAACTCTCAATCACGTCTTGGTGGATAGACACCTGCTCTTGTCATTGCCATTATGTATCGCACACAGACGTGTTCCGTACCATGGGCCGATGATGGTCCTCAGGTGGAGTTGAAGACTTTAAACAATTTTCCCAAGGAGTTTACCTGACTAAAACAAAAAATAGGGTAGAATTCAAAAGCCTCTCAAGCTTGCTTTGTCCTCTCTTCATGCCCGACCCAAATCGATCTCTCAAGTCATCATCCAGATCGATGAATGCCTAAAATGTGTTCCACTCTCGTCATTTTCCATCCATCTCTTCACTCTTCTCTTTTTCTTTGTTCTCCCTCTTGGAAGTCCGATTTAAATGCACTTGCTGTCGGTCTCCATGGCATTGCTTCTTCCATTTCTCCCCGAGCTGGTCTCGTAGTCTTACTTTGTCTTTCCTTTCCCTCTCTCCTCGCCGTTGCACTGAGTCCATTCTTCACACCTCCCTTTGTACTACCAAAAAAAGATAATAATATTAATATCGTCAATCATGAGATGCACCTTCCTCTTTCGCCTAGCGACCTGTGTACCGTCACAAGTGAGCACACCATAACCCTATATGAAGCTGTGAGGCCCCTCGTTCTCCGCTGACAATTTCTTTCATCATGGGAAAAAACATCAAGGGAAAAACATCGACCATCTTCACATTTTCTCCCCCTTTCTCTTTCATTTATCATCCTATCTAGATTTTGAATCATAATGTATCAAGGTCTCCCTCTCTCCACTTCGGTGAATTTTCCCTTACATAACATGATCTTCTATCACCGCCGCCGCCTCCTCTTTCTTCATCTCCTCCTCAGTTTCCTCATCCTCCTCCCACCCACTTCGAACACCAAAACTGCTCCCCTCCCTCCTAAACACCCGTTGCATCATTCCCCCCTCCTTCCCGCCCTCTTTCGGCACCACCTTCTCCACCCGCTCCCCGCCGTCCACAAGCTCGATCACATGCATCCTCCGCTCCTTCCTTTGGTGGGCGAGTGCCTGGTCCCATTGCACGACAAGGGGCCGCAAGTACCTCTTGTAGGCCTCGGAAAGGAGGAGGAAGACCAGAACCGACCCCAGGACCAAGCCCCATTCCCAGTCGATGGGCGCCTGGTAGAAGACTTTGTCGTGGACGTAGGGGATGTAGAAGGTCGGGAGGAGGGTGAAGACGCCGAGACCGACGGCCAGGGCGAGAGGCTTGTTGTTCCTGGCGGGGTGGGGGGGACGGGGGAAGGGGCAGGGGAGAGGAGAAGAGGAGATCGGGGGGGGTGAGATGGAAGACAGGCGACAGGTATGATGGCGGTCAACGCGGAGAGAGAAAGTGGGCTTCTAGAACATTAGTCTGCATCGACCAAGTCTTCCACTTCCAACTACATGTAGGACATACGACACATAGTCTCTCGGCACCTCGCTGTCGGCCTTTGCAACCCGAAAAACACGTACTTGTACTTCACTCTCCGGAGCGACCGGGCGAGATCCTTGCAATTGTACGCGTGGAGGAGGAGGAGCAAGGTGGTAGAGGCAAAACAGGCGGCCCGTGCTCGGAAAATATGTTCACATTCCGGGGTCAGCGTCAAATTGCAGCCGCTCGTGTGCTGAACCCCGTCTCCGTCCACAAAGGCGACGATGAGGAAGTTCGTGATGGATAAGACCCCGATCAGAAAGCCGTACAAGGAGATGTCGACCAGGAGCGTCGGATTTCGCAGAAGTCGGCCTTTCTCGACCGGATCCTTCTGCATACTGTCCACCTCTGGCGGCTCACAGGCGAGGCCCAGAGCCTGGGGGTGGCAAGGAGAGAGAGAGAGAGAGGAGGGAGGGAGGGAGGGAGGGAAGGGAGGAGTAGGGAAGGAGGCGTGGAGGTAGAAGAGTAGAAGTAAGGGCGGAGGACGAAGAC